TGCTAACACCTACTACCTTGGCCCCTCTCTCCAGATACTGCTTTGTCATCAGGATGTTAGAGAGGGGCCATGACCTCCATCCTGGCCCCCCCTTATCTATGCTGCCCCCAGTGGAAGGACGCCCTGGGAGGGGATGGCTGGTGAGGGTGTGCATGGCTGCATGTGCTGATTTCTGACAACATCCCAAAGGTGAACAAAAATGACTTGGGATGATCAGCGTTTTGTACAGATCGGGGAGAACTGGCTGTTCTCCCATCCCAGCTCATGTGTTCCATTAGAAATGGATTAAATCAGCCAGATTCAGGAAACTTTTGGGTGACATTTTCATTTCAAACTCATCATTATAGCTTGAGTCCCTTGCCTGTGACCCGTGCTATGAGTCAGCCAGGCTCAGACACATTATCGATAGGGCAGATCTGTGACCTTACACAGCAACTGGCTGCGGCTCTTGTTTCCTCCAGGTTGAGAAAAATCATGTGCACGAAGCTTTGTTTCTCAATTATAGCTTTCAACCTTTTTTCCTCGGTGACTAGCGGGACTAAGCCATTGATTTACTTATCACGTTTATTGAGTGCCTGGCTAATAGCGTGGGCTCCAACGTCAATTGCCTCAATTCAAATCCCACCTCCACAAATCAAGCGATTTGTGTCAGCTCTAAACTGCAGTTCCTGCTTCTGCAAAAGGAGAGTCACAATAACGCCCACCCAGAAGGGTGGTGAGAGCATTGTTCCAGGTTTGTTTCCCCAGGAAGCAGACTCTAAGAGTGAGCAAGCAGGACCTCAGCGGAGAATTCTCTCACTAGCAACACAGGAAGCAGGACTGGGTGGGGGGAGAAGTTGAGCTGTGATCCGTCCCAAAGGAAGCAGCAGCAACCCCAGGGAGCTCTTGGGAGCTATGATAGCCCGTTAGCCCCATCCTGAGTCGGACCAAAGGGGCTGGGCTCTTATGCCCCTTGGTAGATCAGTCACTGTCTGCAGGTTGTCCCTGGAAGGAGGTGTGACCAGGCAAGACAGTTTTCTTCAGCCGGGCCAAAGACGGCCTCGATTGGCCTTCCTGTAGCACTCCCAGCAGTGGGAATTAATCCCTCATTCATGAAAGGGGACCCGGGCAGCACATCACAGCCTCCACCACAAAGATGAAATGCCATAATCGACATAAAGTCCTTATCGTAGTACCTGGCATGCAGTAAATGCTCAATAAATGGCAACCATTACAATTGCTGTTGTTGCTTTAATAATGATTATTTGTCAGGCACCGTGCTAGAGGCAGGGGACACAGTGGCTATTGAGATTCTGCTCCTGCCCCGAAGAAACTCAATGCATGATCACCTCTGACCATCAGACAAACAATTACAATGCAGTGCCATTGATAGCGTGGCACAGGATGTGGCTGGGAGCATGTAGAAGGGACACACAACCCAGACCAGGCGGAGTGATGTCAAAGATAACATCTAACGATGAAGGGGAGTCAGCCAGGCAAGGGGAGCGGGAGGAGGTTGGAGGTGGGCAAGAAGGGCTGTCCAGGCAGAGGTGGCAGAGGGTGCAGAGGCAGCGAAGGCTACGTCAGTGTGTACATGATACAGTTCAGCAAGGCCAGCCAGGGTGTGCACCAGGGCGAGGGGAGGGAGGGCCAAGGAGTGTGGAGGCAAAGAAGGCATTATAGGAAGCCAGCCAGAGAAAGGGCAAGGTCCATTTTTGTGCTTAAAAAGGTCACTCTGGCTGCCATGTGGGCAATGGATTGCAGATGGACAATGTCAGAAGCTGTGAGATGCACTAGGAGGCTATTGCCAGGGTCCAGATAGAGGCAAGGGTGACCTGGACAGGTGGGTGGCACTGAAGGCAGACAAGAGTGTACAGAGTCAAGGAATGTCCAGGAGGTGGAATCCACAGACTTGGTGACGACTGAATGGCGAACGGGAAGGGGACATGCAGGGTCATGCTCAAGCTTCAGGCCTGGGCAAATGAACGCCAGGAGGCCTGCAGGACAAGTGTCTGAAGCCCTTGTGAAAAAACCCACCATACAGACATGCTACTTGTCAGCCAGCATAGTTTGAAGGAGCTTTGTCTAGCCAGCTCTCCAAACGTATGGCTCCGTTCTGGACAAACCCCTTGGAAATCCCTGGTGGAGTACACCATCATAAGCAGCTATGTTAATCCCAGAGGAACCTGCTTCCCTGATGCCTTGTCTATAGGGGGACAAAATGGCCAGCAAAGAACACTCCCAGTGTGTAAACTGCAGGCGTAGTGGAGAGCAAATTGAGCAAGGAAGAAGATAGAAATAAAAATTCACTTTGGATTTAATATTCAAGAAACATCATTTATTGAATATGGACTCTGGGCCCAGTTCTGTGCTCAGGGCTTCAGATATAAGAAAGGATAAGACAGACACTGACTAGTGAACTTGGGGTTCCAGTTCCTTCGACAGTGATATTTCTCATGGCAAATGAGTTCATTGGCATTCAGGTTTATACACTAGTCTCTTGTGTGTTTGGTGACCTGGGCCCAAATCACCCTGGGGCCCAATCACCTTTGTGTTTTCACACAACTGAGTGTTTGGACTTCAAAGCTGATATACAGACCTTTATAAGTGGGAAGCATTCCATTGGAAATGATTGGCAGGCCTCTCTCCAGAAGCAGAAATCTGAGGGCAGGAGGGTTCCAGGATATTCTCTGAATCTGAGTTGGAAAACTGGGCCCAATATTATTCCAAAGTGTTTCTTTCTTTCTTTCTCTTTTTTCTAAGAGACAGGGTCTTACTCTGTCACCCAGGCTGGAGTGGAGAGCAGTGACACCATCATAGCTCACTGCAGCCACCTCCAGCTCCTGGGCTCAAGCAGTCCACCCACCTCAGCCTCCCAAGTACCTGGGACTACAGACACTCTCCACCGAACCTGGTTAATTTTTTTTAGAGATGGAGTGTTGCTATGTTGTTCAGGCTGGTCTCAAACTCCTGGACACGAGCCATTCGCCTACCTTGGCCTCCTAAAGTGCTGGGATTACAGGTATGAGCCACTGCACCCAGCCAGTCCAAAGTGTTTCTGAAGAAGGGAATGGATCAGCATTTTAACTAAAGATTTTAAATGGAACCTCCTAAACTTCTCTTTCTGTAGCACATTGTCTCTCTTCCAGGGGAATTGGGGTGCTCATTAATATTTGTTAAATAAAAATTATAGGAGGCTACTGTTTTGGACTAAGCTCCTGCACTAGGCCCCAACAGACCAGACTAAAAATCAAAATAAAGTTACTCATGCTAAAGTTCCATGTTACCAAACTAAGTTATTTGACCTGAGAAATCTGGAGAGAGAACTGCCTAACTAATTATCCAAACCAACACAGTACCACCCTCCTCCCCACTGTGCAGCTGAAAATCTGTGTATAACCTTTGACTTCCCCCAAACTTAACTATTAATAGCCTGCTGTTGACCAGAAGCCTTGCAGATAACAGTTAACATATATTTTGCATGTTATATGTATTATACATTGTATTCTTATAATAAAGTAAGCTAGAGAAAAGAAAATGTTATTAACAAAACCATAAAGAAAATATATTTACTATTCATCTTTTTTAAGAGATTGGTGGGAGGGAGGGCGTCTCATTATGTCGCCCAGACTGGTCTCAAACTCCTGTCCTCAAGTAATCCTCTTGCTTCAGCCACTGAAATAGCTGGGCTTGCAGGCTGGAGCCCTTGCACCCAGTTTATTTACTATTCATGAAGTGTAATTAGGTCATCATAAAGGTCTTTATCTTTGTTGTCTTCACATTGAGTAGGCTGAGGAGGAGGAGGAGAAAGAGGAGGGGTTGGTCTTGCTGTCTCAGGGGTGGCAGAGGCTGAAAAGGTAGAGGAGGTGGAAGGGGAAGCAGGAAAGGCAAGCACACTCGGTGTAACTTTGATTGAAAAAAAATTCACATATAAGCGGAACTGCGCAGGTCAAACCTTGCATTGTTCAAGGCTCAACTGTACAGTAATCTTAAATATGTAACCTGATGTTAACCAACCAGTTTTTTTCCTATTATTCTGTCTCCCTGGCCCCTCCTTACAAGGAAAAGTAACTTTTGAAAGGACCCATCTACTCTTCCTTCTTTGTTTACACCTTGTTCAGCCCTTCTCTGTCTATAAAACAGACCTCTTCTGCTCAGTTCATGGAACACTTATTCTATTTCATGGCATCAGATGTTGCCCGATTCCAGAACTGCAAATAAAGTCAATAAAGATCTTTAAACTAAATGTATTGTAATTCTGTCCTTTGACAGGTTGCCAAGTGCAAATGACACTGAATCAACCAGACAAAAAAATTTCGTGGTTGGGTTTGGTCCCTACTTCTCAAATGAAGGTCAAGATTTAGGAAGAACCAACTCTACCATAAAAAAGATTCAAACCCAAAAGAGTGTGATTTTTCTTTAAAGTTGTTCACTGCAAGGAAAGTTTCTATATTTGAAATACGAGATTCAAGGAGAATAAAACCATCAGCTGATGCAGGCTTTCTTTTTTCCTTTAAGTTTCCAGAGAAAGGAAAGTGAGTTTCCACTGCGCTTCCATTTTCCACCGGCTTCCCTGCCGTGTCAGATGAGCGTTCCAGAGCGCCTCCGGGATAGCCCTCCAGCTCAGGGAAGAAAATGATTAAAACGTAACTCTCGGAGTATCAGTGTACGCGGGAGAGCTGGTGCCGGGGCGAGACTCCTCCAGCTCTAAGGCAACTTTGTTTCTTAGGAAGGGGGCGTAGTGGGCACTTGGCGCCCGGGCTCCCAGCCCCAGGAACGCCCACACGGCGCCAAGGAGAGGGAACTAGTCCGAAACCCGAGACCCGCCCCGGGCGCCGCAGGAAGCCCCCGGGTCAGCTCGTCCCCCGACACACCCGCAGGTGGATCCCACCCACCCGGGGCAACTTCTCCCGGGACACACACCGGCCAGCTGCGGGGCCCGAGGCGCTGGAGCGGAAGGAGGAGGAAGTGGGGGAGGGGCGCCGCCAAGCCCCGCCCCCGGTCCCGCCCCGCGCGCGCCGCGCGCCACGATTATAGCCGATGACTCAGGGCGGAGCTCCGCATCCAACCCGCGGCCGCGGCCAACTTCTCTGGTTGGGACCAGAAGTTTCTAGCCGGCCAGTTGCTACCTCCCTTTATCTCCTCCTTCCCCTTTGGCAGCCGGGAGGCTATTTCCAGACACTTCCAGCCCTCTCCGGCCACGTCACCCCCTCCTTTAATTCATAAAGGTGCCCCGCGCCGGCTTCCCGGACACGTCGGCGGCGCGCAGGGCTCTCACTCCCGCGGCGTGGAGGTGCCCGTGGCGGCCAGGCTAGCGACTCGGCGCCCTAGGCCCGCGCCCCACACCCCGCACCCGCCGCGCGGGGCCGACCCCGACCCAGCATGAGCGCTGCCACCCACTCGCCCATGATGCAGATGGCGTCCGGCAACGCCGCCGGCGACCGCGACCCCCTGCCCCCCGGCTGGGAGATCAAGATCGACCCGCAGACCGGCTGGCCCTTCTTCGTGGACCACAACAGCCGCACCACGACGTGGAACGACCCGCGCGTGCCCCCTGAGGGTCCCAAGGTGAGCCGGGCCCTCGACGGTCGGCGGGGAGCAGGCCCGGGCCGGGGGCGGCTGGACTGGGCCGGGCTGGGGTCACGTGACGCCTCGGCCCCCGGGGGTCGGCGAAGGCCACCTCCCGGGGGACACTGGCGCCGCCCCACACACACCGGAGGTCGGCCTGCCGCTCCCGAGCGCGTCCTTCCGCGCCCGGACGAGTCTCCCCCCCGGACCCGCCCTTGACAGGCCTTGAGGCGAGAGGAGGCGCCCGGAGGGGGTGGCCCGGGACGTGCGACCCGCGCGGTGGCACCGGGTCCAGTCCACCGGCTCGGTGCGGGGGTGGGGCGGAGGGCCGGGGGACAGGAGCTGGCCCGGTGCTCCGGGCGCGGAGTGGGACGGCTGGCCTGGTCAACACGGGGGGCCCGCCGGGCCTCGTCGCGGCCTCTGCCGCCCGCTCGGCCCCCGGGCCGGAGCCCCTTGACCCGCCCGGCTAGGCGGACGCGAGGGCGCTTCTCGCGTGCTTGGGCGGTGGTCCCTGGGGAATATTTACTAACTCTTCAAGCTCCACAACTTGGTTGAGGGGACTTTACTCGCCTGTCTAAGGCATCGAGTGACTCAAAAGGCTGGTGTAAAAACATTTTTTCCTTTCTGTATTTGAAATTGAAATTGTGTTATTGTTTGAAACTGCTTTCATTAAGAAAGTTTTCTAGCATGACTTGTAAAATAAAACACAGGGTGCTTTTCTCCTAGTTCCTAAACTAGAGATGAGACTCTCTTTCATAGTTGGCCATTGCCTTACACTGGAGAGAAGAATGAGATATATACATACATACACATATTTATGTATGTATATATTTATAATGGCATAAGTTTCCTTACTTGTTATGGTATTAAAATACTTAGGATTTGTTTCCAGTTCACAAATAACTGGGTAGTGATACTCTTGTGAATAACAGAAGTATGCCTCATTTACATATACTCAAGAATGTATGCTTCTTAACACTCAGTAGCATGAAACTTTGAAAATATAAATTTGGAATGAGTCTGTTAATTTAAAAAATTATAATTAGCAGTACTACTCTTGCAGTTTTCTATAAATTTGGGCTCTTTCAAATTAAGAGTTTGGAAAAATAAATATACTTAAAGTAACATATGCTGTGTGGGCAAAATAATACATGCAGTAAAGAGCTGGTAAATTATTTTGAAGATTTAAATACTCACCGAATTAAAAGTGCTTTGTAAACCATTATTTTAGAAGAAAGACCCTGTATTGTCCCCCTTCATTTTTATACACTTTTTTTTCTTAAAAATATTTCTAAAACTGGTGCCCAACAGTGAGATACTGTACATTCAAGCAGTTTACATTTACAAGAAATTAATTGTATATTTATTCCTGAGCTAGTACAAGAGGCTGTGTAATTAGCTGGGATGGGCACAATTTTATATATATATATTTTTTTCGAGTCTCACTCTGTTGCTCTGGCTAGAGTGCTGTGCCGTCAGCCTAGCTCACAGCAACCTCAAACTCCTGGGCTCTAGTGATCCCTCTGCCTCAGCCTCCCGAGTAGCTGGGACTACAAGCATGTGCCACCATGCCCGGCTAATTTTTTATATATATATACATTTTTTAGTTGTCCAGCTAATTTCTATCTATCTTTTTTAGATAGAGACGGGGTCTCGCTATTGCTCAGGCTGGTCTCTAACTCCTGAGCTCAAACGATCCTCCCACCTCAGCCTCCTGGAGTGCTAGAATTACAGGTGTGAGCCACCACGCCCAGCCTATATATATACGTTTTTGTGTTCTGTTCAGTCCATTATTGAGTGAAACCTAATCTCAGTTCATACCATCCTTACTGCAGTCTGCATGGATTGTAGACAATCATTAGTGTGGTATACAACTATTATTTTAAGGCTGCCTTCCTGTAGACACAGAGACAGTCAGAATCTGCTGTCACCCTTTGTTGCGAATGAAGATCAAGTTTGAATATAAACATTATCAGCACTTTGTTGTCAACATGAAACTTACCCAACAAGTTGGGATTTTCCTGTATCCACCTGGTAGATGGGTTAGGCTGTGGTTTCATAAACCTTATTAAGGGGGAAAAAAACAGGTTGAATTACTAATGTTGTTCTCAACAAACAGAAATTCAGAAATACTAAATCAGAAGTCTGATGCTGGAAAAGTTAATTTGAAAATATAACAGTCAACATTTTAAAGTTGAAAGGCCCTTAAAGATCTTTTAGTTAAGCATTTTTTTTTTTTTTAGAGACAGGAAAGTCCCTGCTGCCCCTTACCCTTGTCTCCCCGTCTCCCCACTTTTTTTTTTTTTTTTTTTTTTGCAACAAGGTCTCTGCTCGATCACCCAGGCTGGAGTGCAGTGGCTCAATCGTAGCTCACTGCAGCCTCAAACTCCTGGGCTCAAGTGCTCCTCCTGCCTCAGCTTCCTGAGTAGCTGGGACTATAGGTGCACACCACCATGCCTGGCTACTTTTTAAATTTTTTATAGCAGTGAGGAGGTCTTGCTATGTTGCTCATTCTGGTCTTGAACTCCTGGGCTCAAGCCATCCTCCTGCCTTGGCCTTCCAAAGTGCTGGGATTATAGCCACGAGCCACCACGCCAGGCCAACTTCTTTATTTACTGATAAAGAAACCCAGAGAGTTCAAGTATGTTTCTGAAGGGGTACCCATCTAGTACCAGTGGTAAGGAGAGAACTAATATAAGGAAAGTCCTAATAAGAGGCCGAGTACCTGTCCAGAAGTTAGAAGTGGCTTGAATGTTTTATGACGCTGTGAAGCATGCAGGCTGGAATACTTGATTATCTTTGTGTCCTCCTGGTCACCAAGTTATTGGGTCACTGACCTCTGTCCTGTAGTTGCTTGGATTTTGATGACTCAATGTGATCAAATTAAGAAAAGAGTTCTCTTTACCACATTAACTACTTGAGATTTGTCAGCTTGGCACAAAAACATGAGGAGAAAATTAACATTCAGTCCATGAGCTGTTTGGGCTTCATTGCCTTCAATCTGTGCTTTGATCCACACAGAATATCTGGATGACTAATTCACTTTCACGTGTATGAATTACAGCTGACTCCAGACTGTAGTGGAAAATCCTGCAATATTACTTTACATTAGAAAGTGGTTTCTTGAGGCATGATGAAGAAAGGGCCCTGTCATATAACAAAGGGCGATTTTGGAGGAGCTGAGCTGAGGCCTTTCTAAGCAGCCCCATCTTCAAGAAGAAGTGCTGTTAGTCACTAAAGGGCTGTTCATTGAGCATGAAAACAAGAGAAAGCTTTCTCTTTGGAGAGGACTCTGCTCAGAATGTTTACTATCTAACCATGTTAGTAAATGAGTGGCTTTTGTGGAAAGAAGAAAAAAACTAGAACTATGTGTTTTATTTAGTCTTATACTCTTTCGTCTCACAGTTGATGCTCTGCTTTCCCCTGAAGTGGTTAGAGCAATTCTTTTATCCCCGTTTTTACAGGGGGAGCAAGTGAAAGCGAGTGTCTTACAGTCATTGCAGAGGCAGGACAGCTACAGGCAAAGATGTTGGGCGGCCTCCAGCACCATTCTAAGCAGCTGGACCTCCCCACCTGCAGTCTTCTCGGATTTTGATTTTCTGCACTCTTGCACTCCCCGCTAATCTGGCAAGTTCGTACCAGTCCAGGCCCCTTCCTGGCAGAAGCTGGCATTCACTTTGGCGTCAGAAGATGCACAATTTCTGTGCAGCTTCTCCTCCCTGAGTAAACAGAGGCAGATACTCTGGAGTACTGTTCTCTGACAAACCTCCCTGAGATGGAGCAGGGCTGTTCTAGCTCTGTGCTTATGGAAGGTCACCAGCCTGGCAGTCTCCACGGGAGCCCTTTAAGAACACAATTTGCAGCTGTGTTCCCCCCGCCCATCCCCATACTAAATCTCAATTGCTCAGAGTAGGGCCCAGAAATCTACACGTCTAAAAAGCTTTTCTGGTGGTTCTGATTCTGCCAGACTGACATTGGAAGCCACAGAAGGCCTGTGGTCCTACCTTGGGGAGGGGGAACTGCAGCTTAGCCTACGTGTAGCCCCTGGAATCCCTTGAGAGGGGCCTGCTTATCATCTAACCTGCATAGCCTTTATCCCAGCCTCTGTTTTTGTTTTTTTTTTCTTGGAGAAACTCTCTTGATGCCTGGGCTTCTGGAGGTGTGAATGTGGGCGTGACATGGGGAGGGAGTGGGGACAGCACCATGTGAGTCTGGCAGAGTGACAGTACAAGAGTGGGGGAGGTGGTCAGACTCAGGGCAGTCCCAAGACCCTCCTATACCCCAGGAAGAAGCAAGCCAGAGCTTTTTGTCTTGCTCTCCCTGCAGAATCTCACCATAATAATTTGACAGATTATACTTAGGTGCTGTGAGAGGGAGGTAGAAACATCCTTACAAAGAAAATTGGAAATGTTTTGAGGTATGATTGAAGTAGAGAGAGCCATTTATTTTGCTTCAGGTTCAGCAGAGCCTCCTGAATTTTCTTGAAGATGAGATCATTTTGCTCTTTCCAGATCGATTGTAAGCCATTATGCCTCTTAACAGAGTCAGAGCACAATCAGGAAACGAGTGGCCATTCTCTCCTTCATATTTCCAGCAAGTTGCAGTAATGGCTGAGCAAATTCCTTTGCAACTGGATTAACAGTGATTTGTTGAGGGGTGGGCGGAGGCAGATGAGGAGCGTGGCCAGATGCCTTAGGAGTCGGGCTCATCCAGGCCTTCATTTTCCCTCTGAAGAACAGCCTGTGTCTGGCTCCTACAAGAACCAACTGGACCTCTGGGAACATAATTTGTCTCCTGTTTTGTAGAGTGGATTTGCCCTTTATGAGAGATGAGCCAGTACACAGGAACTGTGGCGGTGTTTGACGTTAGCCAGGGCTGGGAAGGCTTAGCTGTTGGATGCTATCGGGGTTGGTTGTGAGTCAGAAAGCTTCATACCACCCGTGAGGCTTGATTAGCGCCGTCCTTGTTTCTGGAATGACACATGGTTGCCTTATATAAAC